GCACTGCTTCTCTGTGCGACTGTGCATCCTGGGAATGTACTGTATAGTACTACGTAGCCACAGAAGTACAGTAGTATATATAGGGGACCTCTGTACCCCCAATCTACAGTTCAGTTCACTCGAACATCTCCTCTCATCGCTCTAACAAGCCTCTTACAACCAACAACCCTTCTAGGTGAGTTGCAGGCTATCCGCTGTCGTTGCCACCCGTGGGAGAGGCCTTCGCCCCCCGGGTTCAACACGCTTGGGGTTGCCCTACGATTTCCGGGCACAGGAATGGTTGGCCCCACCGGCTCCTAGAGACTAGAAGCGTGAGGCAGGACAATGCAATCGCCATCATCTGTAAAATGACGACATACTCCGGAATTGATCGGATTCTGATAGCTTCAAATATGTATGCTACTTGAACATGCCCCCACCCACGTACGGAAGACAATTTGGCGGTCTCAGTGTGGACAGACGTCTTGTAGCCAACCAAGTGGTTGATCGATTCTAGCTGGTGTGACGCTGTGCGTCTAGGTTTTGGAAGTGGACGAGTGACGGCTTCGTCCTCATTGGACCATTTTCGGCTGGGGGCCACCTGAGCGTCCTCCAAACACAGTAGCACCTTATCGTAGCCAAGAGGTCGCAAGGCATTTACACGCGATGCGCTTGTTGCTGTCTCTTTGTGGGAACACAGGCGATGTCGTATCGAACAGCCCTCATCACAAAGATTTTCTTACGGCGAATACACATTGGTATCTGTCACAAACATATTTGGAGCTCAAAAAGGGGTGTGTACAAGTAGATGATGACCAGGGGCCCTAGCAAAGCGTGTTCTCGACGTCCGTCATTCAGTTCGCATTGCCTTCTCTTTCCCGCTACGCTGACGGCCGCGCGTAGCACGGGCACGACCCGCCCTCGCGTTGCTTGACGCTTGCGGGATGCTTCTCTCGTTCCTGCCAGGCTGGATTCGAGACGGGCCAGCCGCACCACCGCCCACGGATCGGGTGTTGCTCGTTGCGCCGCGCCAGGACTCCACGTCGACAGTAGACTGGTCGAGCGAGTTGAGCTCTCTCATAGATACCCTCTTCGCTAGAGAGCTCCCCGACGTGCCGACCAAAGTCGTGGAAGCCTTCGTGCTAGATGCACTGGTTCGGGGTCCCGATACAGCTGTCTTTCGACGCTTAGCCCTTTGGATGGGGCTACTGTCGGGGGCGTCATCCGGCTGATCTTCAGAGTCGGAGCAGTCTAGAATCGCCTCGACCTCGCAGGCCTCCATCAAAGGAACATCGTAGTTTCTAGTGGGGCTGCAAAGGGTGAACGAAGGGTCGGTCTCGATCAGGCGGCCGGGGTTGGAGGCACCAACGGAATTTGCGTAGCCATCGCGGCCAGGCAGGGGGCGCCTGCGGATCTCGTCATAGGGTTCGAAGTCCTTGGTTTCATCATCCATGTCGGTTTCTGAATCGCTTCTGGTCCCACAGGCCTTCTCGGCCTCCCGTTTCCGTTTAGAGGCCCTAAGGCGCTGCCCTGAGGAGAGCTCGTCCTTGATGCGAGTGTCTGGAAGCTTGTAGGCCTTGGGCGCATCCTTCGCGGGCCATAGATCCCGATACCCGTCCGAATCTAGTACTTTGTCGAAGATCGCAAGTACCTCATCGTAGTCGAGCGGCTGGTCGTCCGACAACAACTTCTGGACACATAAATCTCCGAACTCCTTCAGGAGAACGGTCAAGGGGACGTTGTCGCGTACGCAGAGATCCTTGCGGAGGCATCCAGAGAGCCAGCTGTATTTCGCGGCAAGGGAAGCCCGCTCGCCACGATCGAAGATGTACGGGCAAGCTTCATCACCCTTGGGATGAGTGTGATCTGTGTGGCGAAGGACGACCCAGAGGATCACCCAGTAGAACGACTGCAAGTCGTGGTGTGGCCCATGAATATCGCCTTCATCGCTCAGGAGCTGGATAGCCATGAAGTAGAACGTTCCCTGACAACCACGAGGGAGATCAATGACTGATACGGCTAGAATGCTTATCATGAGATCCCACCGTTCTCTTCTGAAGCTCACCGCCATCGTTGTCGCCAAGCAAGAGCTCAGAAAATAGTGAAGCCATGTTGGCAGCTGGGAACTCGCGACTCATAGAGGAATAATCGAAATCATGGATGAAACCGGTGAATGAATCTTGTTCTACAGGGTCGTCGACGATGAGTATGTTGTTGACGCTCACATCCCGGTGGAGGATGCCCGCGCGGGTCATAGCAACACGATGTCCTAGTAAAGACTTGCTATGAGTCTATCCAGCCACATGAACTGCGATTGTAATTAGACGTACCCCGAATCGCATCCCGAATGGCAGCTGTCATCTCCCGAGTGTTCCGGAACTTGATCAGAGGTCGTCCAACTTTGTCGACCACGAAGCGCATATGGCTTCGTTCGCGATGCCAATACTCAGACCCCCGAGATTGACGCCAGGTGAACGTCTGCTGCATCGGACGGTGCACAGGAAGGTGATCGACAGCCGACCGAGGGGAGAAGGATGGCGGAGGTATGGATGATGAGGCGGTACCTGATACAAACCCCGACAAACGACTCTGGTGGTCTGATGCTGGGGCGCCGTACATATGTGACTCCCATTGACGCACCTCACGCTCTCCCAGATCCCCACCGCAGACGAGACTAGGAACCCCCACGCGCTCAGCCGGAGGTACCCTTGACAGGCGTGCATAGAAATCCTTCTCCGAACGTCGAACAACTGGTCGCCACGCGTCTTTGACAATCCGCACCTTCAGGTCTTCCGCCGGAATGCTGTCCACAGAAAGGTCAACGAGGCGACCGTTAACCAAGCTACGGGTGTCACAGATTCCCAACCACACGGTGGTCGCTCGAGAGAACAGACGGTCGTTGACGTCGAGCGCCTTGAAGAGGATGTATGCAGCGGACACACCCGCATTCCCTGACACATCGTCATTGAAGACCTCGGCCCGACGGGCTTCGGAGGACAAGAGCCCCTCAGTGCTCACCCCGGCGAGCTCCAACCGATGCTTGAGCCATTCCTCGTCATCAGGCGTCAGCCTGCGAACGGTCGGGTCGCAGCCCACCACTGTTTCGCCGTCGTTGGGGTGGGCAAAATTCCAGAAAAATCGTTGGATGATGCGGAGGTCATCGACCACACGCAGCGACAGGGATTGGGAGAAAATAGCACCAGCGTGGTCGAAGCGAGCAATGCGCACCATGTCGCCGTAAACACCAATGACAAAGGCAGCAAGGAGGCTGTGAGCATGCAGGAGGTTTCGAGCATTCACAGCGAGCTGGACAAGCGTCCCGCAGTACTGGAGGCCTTTGCCGCAAAAAGGATCCTCATTTTCGGCTTTCAGTTCGACGATCATGGAAAACCGTGGCCAGTCGAGATGTGAGGTCTCGGCGTCCAGGATCTGACCAGGAAAAGAGACAGCGATGTCCGGATAGGACTTGTGGTGGTTAGAGGCGAAATCGGCGTAGGGGAACCGCTGAGATTGGGTATGACAGTCGAAGAACGACAGCCTCTTCTGGTCAGGGAATGAAGCAACGAGCGCGTTGAGACCTTTGATCTGATGGAATGTGAGGCTCGATACTTCACGGGTGCTATATCAAAGCCACGTACGAAGGAAGGATAAGCGCTAACTTCACCAGGCTTGATTGCGTCGAACTCGGTGCCACTGACATCCGCGCAAGTGCATGGAGTGCTTGAAGGAACATACTTTGCCAAGAAATCGCTCCCCGTATCGTCTGAGAGGTTGATCTTGCGTTCAAGCTCCTTCTTCCATGCCTTCAGCACGTCACGATCGCCGATGAGGGTGCCTTGCAGGTTGACAGGATTGTTAGAGGACCTGGGAGCCAGAGGGGTAGATTGGCTGCCGCTCGTACCTGATTCCCCAGAGCAGAAAACGCTGCTACTGATACAGCCCGTTGAGATGGACATTCAATAGGGTCGGGAAGTGGTTGCAGAGTCCGTGATAGTGGTTGAGAGAGAACAATGGTGGGGCATAAGCGCTAATACATTGGGAAAGTCAACACACATTCGGCACATACGAGCGGGACGATTTAACGGCGGAAGACCGTAAATGAAACCTGCTTACCCGTTCGACGTTCATGATGACGGTGGTTGAGCCCCAAGCCGAGGTGCTCTATCATCACGCGGTGCGAGCTCTAAGCCGACCTATTCCAAATCAATGGATCTGTACCAGAAGCAGAATGATAGTCCTGTGAGCTGATAATTGGTACAAGCTGCTAAGCGTTCATGTCATATGGTGACGGAATCCCACCTAAGACACAGTATCCAGCTCAGTCGCACGGAGGTATTTTGTGGGTCATGTTTGCGGCAACACACCTTCTTCTATCGAGATCATCCGTTGATTATTTCGAACTTCTACACCAGGTATGACGTTTCGGCGCGTTAGGTGAGCCACCTACGCTGGCGAGCCTAAGCAGTAAGCGCTTGAATGAGCAATGTAACGTTCAAGAAGTTCGGGACAAACTTTGAGCGCTCAACGGGGCGAGGAACGGAGACGTGCCAATGCCTTGGGCTTGAACCTATGCTGAAGGCTTTCGTTACACATGGCGTTCGGACTCGCGAGATATTACATAGAGTAGTAGCAACGGAGGGAGGACATGTGCGCAACGTCGCTTTACTTACAACGGAGTCTATGGGCGCTGAGGACGCGTTCAACTACAAGACCCCCAACACTCAGTCACCAGTGTGCTCGCGAAGGAGGGACCGGTGGATGCTTGCTGGGACGATGTTGATGGCGACGTTCTCGATGACCGACGCAGCGCTTGAGCACTCCGCGACCTGAGTACGACCGAGCGTGCGCCCTGTTCTCAGCCAATTCTGCCAGGCCAAGAACCCCTTCAGGATCATGTCCAGCGAAATCTCGCTCAACGGCCTTGGAGGGGCCGCCTCCCTGCGCGCCAAGCACGCAAACGAGTCCTATCCAATTTCCCCCAAGCACGTTGCGAGCAGCGAGGTCAAGTACGAGGAATATCTTGTGCGCGGGCTCGAGCAAGCAGGTCAAGCGATTGTGGACGTCCAGAGTAGGAGAATCTATGGAAAGTGCGTGTGGACTGTCGCGGATGGCTAACAACTGTCATGAACACCGCAGGCTTGACGGTGGCTCTATTGTCCCAATGCGTTGTCCATGCAGCGTGAAAAATAGAATAGCCTATATATCGTGATCATACGAACGGTCTAGCCAGATCCAACCGCGGCGCGCCGCCCGTCAGTCGGATAGGAAGTCGACCTCCTCCTCGATCAGCGCATCCAGGAACTTGAAGAAGGACGCGGCGGGGAAGCCGACGACGTTTTGGTAGTCGCCGTCGACCTTGCTGACCAACATCCCGCCTAGACCCTGCATGCGCATGCGAGAGCAGACACTCATCAGCGATCCGCGATCCCAGACGAGCGTAGACAAGAGGGAGAGGGCGGCGTACCTGAACAGCGAAGCCGCCGGCGCGGTCGCGCCCCTCGCCGTTCTCGACGTATGCGCGCAGGAGGGACTCGTCGTTCTGCGCGAAGTAGACGAGCGTGCGCTCGTCTATTGACCTGCGCTTTCCGTCAGCATTTGTCTGGTCCCTGCATGAGAGGAATTGAACCCACTTGATCTTGTACCCGGGCGCCTCCAACACCGGGAACACTGTGCCGCGACGCCTTATCATCCTACCGGTCACGATGTACAGCTGTGCGACGCAGACGCACCGACGCTGACGCCGGTGACGACCTCGCACCGGCCGCCGTTGAGGTCGAGGAGCATGCGCATGTTGTCCTCCTTGTCGATCGGCTTCTCGAGGATGTCTTGCGGAGCGCCACCGAGTTCCTCTGCGAACTGCGAGTGCAGCCCTTGCGGGGCGTAGGTGAGTACCACCGTGTCCGCTGGTGACTCATTATGAGCAAGGAGATTGGCCATAAAAGGCTGAGTAAGGGATAAAGACCGACCTGCGATGACGAGGTCGGGCGCGTCGTCCGGCTGTTCTGTCTACAAGGATAGATTAGCATCCATTGAAGGGAAATAAGACATGCCAGATGAAGCGAGCGGCGGAGTGCGCTGGGACAATATGACCGGTGTAGCATAGACCACACATTGTGGTGGCCAAATCGACGACAACCTTGCTCGCATAGGCAGTAGACTCGTAGCATGCATCCTGGCTTCCATGAGCACGTTTCCGCGCTGTGCAGTGGTCCCTAAGTCAATGAGTGTCACAACCGCAGGTACAGTGCACTCTGTGCCGGCGGAATCTTGACAGTCAGGACTGTGAGGTATGATCGTCGGACCCGCATTTCCTGAAGGGCGGACGATCGTGTTCTGTCTCTATAGTCAACAGCAGATACGATCGAACGGGGACGGCAGTCCGCTGAACCGATCTCGCCAACTTCCATAGGAAGTCCGCCTCTCGAGAACCGCTCGGGCAGAACGTTGTTGCATGTACCTGCAAAGTCAGACGCTACAGCCGACTTACCACTAGTCGCTCGTAGACTTCTACGGCCTTGTGCGTCGCGGTCGCGACGGGATATTCATGGGGGTCCTGAAAGCCGCCAATAGGCAACGTCTCCTCGAACGTCGAAGGAACGATCTCGGGCTCTAATCCCTACATAGCACGCCAGCGCGATCGACGGGTACGCGCGGACGACAGAAGTCAGCTTCGCCCTGTACTGTACGACAAGGAGGTGGCTGCTGGGGACCCACGAATGTCCGCAGGATCTCTTTCCTGCGCGGGCTGTTGGATGCGAGGACGACCCGCTTGCCCACGAGCTTCTCGAGCGCTGGGATCCTGAGCGCGTGAGGGAGGACGCAGTTGTGCGCCGGGAGCTCGACCTTCTTCGAGCTGAAGAACGACATCATCGCGGGCTGCTCTTCGATCTCGACGTGTAGATACGGGTGGACCTGTGAGAACTCGAGACGGAAGAGATGTCTGTTTGGGGAACCCGAGGGTCAACTCGAGATGTGAGACGCGGGATGGACTTGAAGCACCGTTGCAAGTTGTGTTCAAGTTGCCGAGAGCTCCAGCAGCGACTGCCTGAAATAGGGATTAGACGCCCATATACGAAGCGTTGTGGCGTTCGACGGAGGCGGGGTCTGTTTACACTCGCCAAAAGCGAAGTCTGTTCCCCACTTCAGATCCACTCATCCGCCGCCTGTGCCGGCACACCTTGGTCCGAGGGTACGAAAGACGTCAGGCTTTGCTATGGCAGAAGGCCCGAAGAAGCGCAGCGGAACAACACATATCTATCAAGACATCGTTAGAACACATCAAGAATTGGAAGACCTCATACTGGGTGGGCGCGACGGCGGCGAACACACACTCTGGACTCGGACCACCCGGGCCAGATAGCTCTCGACTGTCTGGAGAAGGGATGGCGAGGACTATAGACAGCATTCCGATCGTTTGGCTCCCGTAGCATACTACGGGACCGCGCCGAGTGGAGCACCCTAGGTCCCCTGAGCACCCTAGGTCCCCTGAGGGGTGTGGGGTTTCCTGTCGCACGTTGCTTCAGAGCATCTCCTCCGCCGTCAAACTGGGCAAAAGAAGTTCATGGGCCTCTCACGTTTCATCGCGCAATCTGATTCCTGCTCCCTCGTATATAGGCTGCGAGCGGCTTTCGCTCAAAGACAGCCCTCTCAGGCCTCTCGCTCTCACCTCCACCTCCTACTCTCCGCCCCGAGCCTCCAAAGTCGTGCTCGAGGCTGAAAAACACTGTCGCAGTCGGTCTGTATCTACCACTATATCCTTTGCCCACCCGAGGCTAGTCAGGTACGCCATGCCCCTTTAGCTCGCACGGAGCGTTATATCCAACCTCATGCAATACACGCAGTCTATCACGATGGCCACAGAAACCGCCCAGTACGCCCGCATCCAGAACCGCGACTCCGTCGTCTCCGACGCCCCCACGTCCTCCCCCCGCTCGCTCCGCCGCAGAGTGAGCCACGCGCTCAGTAGCTTCACCGGGCGCTCCCCCGAGAACAGCACCGTCGTCCCACCAGTCCCTCCTACCAACGAGCTCGCCCGCCCGGCTACGCGCATCGAGAAGGCCACATCGCGTATGGCATCGGGCGCGGATCAGAGGCCGGAGAACGCGCTGAAGCGCACCTGGAGCAGGGGCATTAACCTCGCGCGCACGCGCTCCGAGCCTGCGCTCCACGCTAAGAGGGTGAAGACGTCCGCGTCTGCTACGGCCCCGGCGGTGCCCGCACTCCCGCGTGCAGCGACGACGACTGTCGCAGGGCACTCGCGCGACGCGGGCGCGTATGCGAGCACGGAGAGCGCGATTGTGTCGTACACGTACCCGCTCTGGAGGATCGACCCGGTGTTGGTCGGCTGTTTCGTGTGTCTGTGATTTGGTGGATGCTGGTGCTATCCGTGTCGCGTTCAAGTGAAGGTCGGACCTGGATATTTATACGCATGCTTACTCTTTTTACTCTATCGCACCTGCTGGCTTCGGTCCAGGAAACATCATCCAAAGTCATCCCGTGTCTTGTACCATGTATCATATCGTCGTGATTTCTTGCTCACCCATGTACTATCAATACTCAAGGCTTCGTTGACTGGAAACATTGACATGATACACAATGTATATGCGGGGAAAACGAAGCTCATTATAAGCCTGCGAAGGGATAGGGGGCCGCTTGTAAGCAATGCTGCATCGACTGGGCAGGTCAACCTTGGGTAAGCAGTCGACCCAAAAAACCCTACGTCCGAGAAAGACGCGGCGGCAGTTAGATACATTACATCTTCCGCTGCACTGCGGCTGCAGAAATGGCAGTTATCATCATAGATGCCGAGGCCTCTGTAGGCGTTCAGTGTCACAAAGATTAGGAATGGGGAGACAATTTGCCACCTGCTCACACATAGGATAACCACCTCGGAGATATCGCACAAGAGAGCAATAGACAATCGGAATCGCGATACGTACACAAAAAATACACCAGATAGACTGCCCTTGTCGTACAGCTCTACCCTTACGCCGCCAACAGCTCCTTCAGCTCCCCATTGTCCACCATCTCCTTCACGACGTCCAGCCCGCCCACGAACTCGCCCTTGACGATCAGCTGCGGGAACGTCGGCCAGTCGTTCAGCACCTTCAGGCCCTGCCGCACGCTCTCGTCCTGCAGGATGTCGAAGCTGCTGAACTGCACGCCCTGGTCGCGCAGCAGCCCCACGATCCGCCGCGAGAACCCGCACCGCGGCGCGTCGGGAGAGCCCTTCATGAAGAGCACGACGTCGGACTGCGTCATGAGCTTCTTGAGCCGTGCGTTGAGCTGCTCGGGCGTCTCCGCGTCGTGCTCGGGCGCGGAGGCGGGAGCGCGGTCGGTCGTGGATTGGGGCTTGATGGACGAGGGCGGGGCGGTGTGCTTTGCGATTTCGGAGGTGAGCTTGGGCGCGTCTGCGCCTGATATGCGCGACAGAAGCGTGTGGCCCTGTGGTGCGAAGCGTTTAGGTGAATGGACTGGAGAAGGAGAGCGAGCGTGCTAGACGTACCCGGAGGATCACAAAGGTCGGTACGGCCTCGACGTCGAACGACTCCGCGATGTCCGCCTGGTCCTCCGCCTCCACCTAGACTCAGCGCGCGCCACACAGCGCGTATTAGTCAGTAGTCCTTCCGAGCACATTCATGGGCGAGCTGTAGCAGACATAACGCACCTGCAGCACTAGAATCTGCGGATACTTCTTCGCCAGTTCAAGCACGACCTCGTTCATCTGCTTACACGGCTCCGCCCATGGTGCCCAGAAGTTGATGAGCGAAATGCGGGTGAGGTCCTGAGAGAGGAGGTTCTGGAAGTGCTCCGGGGATGTGACCTCGTTAAAGTTCGGGGAGGCAGCCATCTTTTGCACTTGTGTTGCTCGTAACGTATAGGGATAGGAAGATTTGAAAAACCGTAAGGAAAAAAGCGATCGGGGCGAAGGCAGAGGACGATCGAGAGGTAGTGGAGGCAAGGCGGTGAATTACGAGCGCAAGGATGACCAACTTGAAGGGGCCACCACCGCCGGCGCAAAGTCGAGGAGTACCGTTACGTTATCTGATAAGCACAGTGTATGAAGTTATGGCGCAATCGCAGCAGATGGACCTCCCAAGTTATCTTTATCTAATCAGATACCCTCGCCCACACTAGTTAGTACTCATGACGTCGACGGGCCTCGACGGCAAACATTCGCTCGGATTTCAGCCAGTATCCACAGTGGGTCATGGTAGCGTGAGTCTGAGGCCATTCCTAAGACCTTACATGTTCACGCCATTTACAGACTAGATCATATGTCGTATAGTGCAACATCCAGTGCCTTGCCAATTCTGCGCCGAGGGAAACCCTTGGCATGGGTGTGCGACCAGTCAGGCCGAAGATGAGTACCATGTTCACTCAGCAATCACGTCGTGACTTGCTTACTTTGCTTGGGCGTGGGGACACGCCAAGTGGCGACAAGTCTATTAACACAGACAGGCTTGTAGGATTGACTTGGCGTTGACATCGAGTCACTGACGTGCCGAGCTAATGTTAGTGTCCAAACCACCGAATGACAGGACATCGGTCCGGTATCGGAAGTCTTCTCCCGGTTCGTTAGTTGGACTAACCACCCATCGACTCCCGACAGGCTAACGAACAGCATTTGCATAGTGTGCCCCTTTTTTCGCGAAGCGCCATGTCCTGAGCCAGGCAGAGGGCTCGCGAAGTCAGCTTCAACACTGCCATGGAGATCCCTCCGGCCGCATATAGAACGAAGTTTGGCACTATGGACCAAAGGCGGAATGCCGTCACTAGCCCCTTCGAGTCCATAGGTCACGTTTTAATCTAGGCCCAGTGCTCTCTCATAGGGCTCATCCTGAAAAACCTTGTCGCAGTCTCAACACCCTCCCTCCGCACTAACCAGTCGATGTCGCAGTAGCCGAAGACATCGTAGTCGGTCGACAGACTTCCGAACGGCACCGGGGTCATCTGTGAATGCCACGACGGCGTTGAGGACAGGTCCTGGCAATGGCGAACACGCTTTCGGCGTGCTTGACTGGCGCAGATTACCAGCTGCCCCATCTGCATCCTGTGTGGTATGAGGTCAGCCCTGGGATTCAGAGCTATTCAGACACGTCATACATACTCGGCCAGCATGGAGAGCTGTCCCGGAACCCGAGCACCCTGTCTGCCTCCATGAGTAACCTCGAAGCCTTCGGTACTCATTGCGCAGTAGCGGGCGATTTCGGTCCATGAACCTATCATGGGCCGGAGCGCATAATGATGCTCATGACACGCTCCCATAGTGAAGAGACGACGATCGTTCATAGTGGGAGTCACAAGAGCATATATGTGCATTATTAACCTCGTCTGTGCATTCCGACTCTATTTCTTACGAGCGATGCGCTTCTCGAATTCACTCATACGCTTCTCCAAGGTCATCTATATGAGGAACGGCTCTCACTGGCGCTCACGAGGCTAGAACGGCTCCGAACCCAAGCCACGGGCAAATGACACCAGTGCGTGCACGCCGTGGAAGACCAGTGGGGCGTATTTGGTGGAAGAAATGTCGGGATGAGAACAATAAGACTCGTGGGAGCGTACATGTGGGAAGCAAGATAGAGTACGTGTATATTAAAGCATCGCCGGCACCGAGAGACTACGAGAGCCGTGCCCTGGGCGAGGGAGCGGTATGGCACATTGTGGCCATAGTATCCAGGCACCAGGCGCCTGTGCGGGAACGCCGACTTCTGGAAAGGCAAGGGCGGTGGGTGTTCGAAAACCACGACAATCGCGAGAACGGCGCGAGCTGGGGTCCGGGGCTCTGGGTAATTGAAATTGGACGTCGCACGGGCGTGCAAGAATACTCCATGCCGTAGCTGCCAGGCCCCGTTCATCTGACCATGACTGACGACAAGAAGCGGCCGTTGGGTGGTCGACAGTGAACGTTCAGCCATGGCTGTCTAGCCATTCGCAGACACGGTCGATCAGGTCGGCCTTCTTCCCAGAGACGGCCTCGCCCTTGGACTTGAGGAATTCCTAGATGATACGGAGCATCGATGAGCAGCTGCGGGATCAGACGGTCGAGCGCAGGCGAATAGAACCAGCGGAGGCGTTGCCAGAGACGAGGCTCTCACGCGCCTCCGTCAACGTCGACGTCGCTGCGGCGACGGCGGAGCTAGGCTGGCTCTGGGACGCCTTAAGCTCGGTGGCAGGCACGCTCGACGACGACATAACGCAATCGCGTTGGACATTGGCGTTGGCATTGGCCCGGGCGGCGTTGCGGCCGAGTAGAGCGGCATCACATGAACAGATAGGATTACGAACCTTGAGCTGGTCGACACGGAGCTGTGGAAATAACGCAAGTCAGCTGGGTCCGTATGCAGGGACGCTCGCGGCGGGCGACCCGGCCATCCCGGTCCCCCATACATAGACGTGGGGGATCAGTATGGGAATGACCGTCAGTCCCAAGCCGCGGTCGCGTCGCCCTTTGGAATGAATTAGATCAGATAGAAATGAGGGCACGTACCTTGGCAAGCGCCCCCGCCTCGTATTTGCTGCGAACTTCGGCCTCGTCCACGCTGACGTCCTGTAAGTGATACGCATTTAGCGGCATTGGGAAACGGACTTCCAGCCTGACGGGTAGGCACATGCCCGAGGGGAGGGAACGTGGATACTCACCGCTTTCCGCTTTGAACCCGCGAGAGGGGCGGAGACGATATTTGCCGATTCATCCTCGCGCAACTCTTCTTTCCACGCCTTGATCAGCTGGCCTGCCCGCTGAGCCGCCATACGGCGCGTAACGTTACGACAGGGATAGTACCAGCGATGGACAAATCGGTGTCAGGCAAATTGGTTCCGCCGTTACGTGAATGGTCGCTCGAACTGGGGTACAAGGGACTGTCCTGACCTTGTGTATCATGTCGTACTTCGGCTCTGTCAGGTCCTCGAATGCTTCGGCGTCGAAGTCTTCGCGGAAGGCTTGCGCTTCGAGCTGGGCATTGTGATACGCAAGAGCTGAAACAGAGACATGGGAATGCGTGCCGTAAAAGTCGGTGCTCAGCGTGCGATAGGAAGGGCGATCGAAAGGAGCGACCGGCGCGTTGCTCACCAGGGTTTGGATACGAATCGGGTGGATACGATCCATTCTTGACGTTAAGCTTGTCTATCCACTTCCGGGCAGCCTCTTTAAGTTCGTCAGATGCTGCGAAGCGGCGCCCGAGGAGAGTTGTATGTGAGTTAAGCATAAGGGGTAAAATTTAAGTGTGCGTTTGATAGCGGCCCGAAGGCGTCAGGAGTTTGTCAAAGGGATCAGTGAGCTCGTGACTAGCCATGAAGAGGGGATGATGTCTCACCGCGGAAGGCTCTCTCCACTGGCGCGGCCCGGATGTCGTCGGCGAAGGGCAGCGGGATGAGGTGGAAGCCGGGGGGCTCGCGCCACCCGCTCTCGTCTACCTTCTCTTCCTGGACATATCAAACATTTAGATTGCTCGACACATGGAGGAATTATATGCCACGGCGAAGCTCGCATGCAGGACCAGCCTTGCCCATGCGGGGGTATGTTGGCGATAACTCAATCCGTATGCTCACCTGCGGGAGCATTGCGCAAAAAATAGGAGATGAGTTGCGCCGGGTGAGGGCGAGGACGATTGCGATCTTCTTCTTGCTGATCATCGTTCGGAGGAGTGCCGTAAATGTGCGCTTGCTCCCGGAAAATGTCTGTTAGAATGTGAATTGGTCACGAAACATCGCATCACCGGACCATAGAGAAAATTTAAGGAACACTGAGACACTGCTGACGCCGAACCGCGAACGTTTGCGTACCATCTCGTCGGGATAGATAAAAAACGAGTGTTTAATGTTGTCTTCGAAGGCAAGCTCCTTCCGGCCCTTGAATCCTAGAAGCTTGATGCCTACACCATGTGGTCAATCGATTGTCCTGTCTGTGCCGCTTCACACTCACCTGGTTCCAGCCCAAGCGTCCGGAAAGCACGGACTTCCTCTGCCGTGTAGAACACCCGATAGCCAAACGCTACCGAGCGGGTTCCTGCGTCAACCCCCTTTGCATCACCCTCCTCGTCACCAGCCTCCGCCGACGGAGCACCGAGGTCCATCCCATACAGTATCTGGCCTTTGTCTACCTCCTCTTCCTGCTCCTGTGGAGATACCCAACGATTATGAGTTAGCGCTTCGCGGAGCCACGGGCCCGGACACGTACCTCGTCTACGTAAGACGTGCGAGACTCCACGACTTCCACTCCTGCATCGGTTTCGGCGAAGTACCGGTATGCCCCCTTCTTTTGTTCAGTGATCAAGCCATACCTGGAAGTTCCGTAAAAGGGAAGTCGGGAGGACGGAATTTGAGAAGCTAGGCGGAGATGTGGGGACTTACCCTTTCACTCCAATGACGAAATCGGGTGCAAGCTGGAACGGGACACTGAATGCGGCCCTCTTTGGCACTTCGTGGAAACGCATCTGCGCAAGCAGTTCGTCTATTCGACCGATGGATATTGATTCGGGGAGTATGGAACTGCCGTCATTATCGCCTATGTCATCCGAATCGGTTATATTGGTCGGTAGGAGAACGGACTGGTAACGGCGTCGTGTCCAATGCGGATGAATCAAGGGAAGTCAGATAGACCGTGTATCGATAGTGAGATCATAGAAATTTCATGGGTGAATGTTGTTATGAAGGCTTACCGAATAGAACCTCGATGGGTCGAACGGTTTCTCATCAGCGCTGATGAAGAATGGCTCGACTGTCACTCCAGCTTGCACGAGATCCTATGCAAACGCAGACAGTAAGCAGCTATTGCAGCCAGAGATCCCAGCCGTCGACGGCCTCCTCGGAATGCCACCTTCAGCACATCCAAGTCCGCAAAGGCAATTCATTCGTCATAACCTTCACTTCATCCCTGGCTCTCCTGTTCGCGGAACCTTTGCACGTAGCCGGCCATTTGCCTCGTCATACGCCAACGTACATGCCCGCCACTCACTTCATTACTGTCTTACGACTCTAGCTCCATGTCACATAGCATCCACGAGGCCAGGTCAGCCGGAACGCAAGATGCTACGGCGAAGGGAAGTGCTTATCCTCTCTCAGCGCGTTTACTCACGCATTTGCATACTCGAGCTTCCGTCCTCAAAAGCCGTCAAGTGGTGGCGGTTGCGACTGGTACTTACAATCAATGTCGTTCGCGCGGACGTCATCAAGCGACTGATTGCTGCGCCGGGGTGCGGGTTGTCCTCGTCCGTGATGAAGAAGACACGCTTCGTCGCAGTCTTCGGAGCACTAGGAGTGAAGTTCGTCAGCCGTGTCGAATCATTGGGGGATATTGAACTTCGCACCCGTCGCGCATGACCCAATTGCAGCTTGTGAAAACGTCCCCAACTGGTATTCGTTTATCCTTCATGGGCGGGAACTCTTCTCGCAGCACCCCAGGATTCTCTCGTGCCTCTGTCGCTCATATATATTGAGACGGTATTTCACGTGTCCTTTCGAGCATAGTAGACGCACCATCCAACAACTGCAACAGCTGCGCCACTTTCGGCACGTCGATGGTGGCTAGCGGCTGATACACAAAGGTGCCCTTCTTAATATCTGCACCAACAGTCCCGCTCTCATTCCGCTTTGTCTGTTTTGCGATATTCGATGTGAAGCCACCGTCTGCGACTAAGGAGGGGAACGACCGGTGCGCTTACCGTGTTGAAGAGCATGATCCCTACGGAGTCGCTCGGGCCTACGAGAACCTTCCGCTTCTGTATTTGCATCGCCGCTTCAAGAGCAATCATGAGGTTGCAGGTCTGCACATCTTCGTAGCGCGGGTCTTCTCGCAACTCGAGCATGGACGGAGAGCAGTCAATGCAGAAGAGAATGACGTCCCTCTTTCCATCGTAGAACTAGATGAACTGTGTCCAACGTGGCTGTACATAAGGTGCTAAGACGGTAACTCACTGAGTAGTCTTGGAGCTCTTCATCGTCCTCGTCCTCGATCTTGTTCCAGTCGTCATACGGTGCCATGCTGGTGGCAGGTGCAGGCGTTCGAGTGCTTGTCGCTGTGGTTTCTCCGTTGCTACTGTGCTTGAGAGGTTTGATTTCAGCTATGCACTGTCCACAGATTTTCTCAACACCGAACTTGTGTGGATTGTGGCGAGCGGAAGGTGGTGGTCAGGGTACAGGAGTCGAGACGCGGCACCGCGCACGCCGGAAATGAGACGCCCAGCGCGACGCGTCTTCCCACGTGACTCATTCGCTCACTTTGGCGTTGTGGCGCGCGCTCGTTTTGGGTACCGTAAGAACCATGTTCTGCCGTGACGGTCTTGTTCAGCAAGTGACCGTCGTAACAAGTGGTCCGTAGCACCTTGGTCCTTCCTGCTCTCACACCCGGCCGTCCCTGTGACCCGCTTGCTATTCAGGACTTCTAGGCTATTTCTCGAGGCCCGTCCCTCAATCTGCTGTTATCATCAGCAATTCCGTGAGTCTGGGTCTGCTTCTATCCAGCGTCCAGTCCGGGAAAGGAGACGTACAATACCGACAACAGACACCTCTGTCACTTTGGCTTGGTGCAATCTACCTTGCGTATTCAAACGTGTGGGATTGTCCTCGTCTCCGGAGTCCGGCACTCGGGCTAACTCCACACGGACAGATTGACCGTCCTCCAGTGACCATCTTCCGTCACGCGTCTTCTGTCCATCCCACTTCGTAGTTCGCAGCACACGCCTTCGACCCTTGGCTTGTACGTCAACCACCTATCCACTGACAGACAGCATCCGGACGGCCCACATGACCGCGAGTTCGCGCCCGGTGGCGTCGCTGCCCCAGCTACGTGCGATCACCGTGGAGAGCCTCGACCCCGCGGACGTGCCCCTCCTCCGAATCAAGACCGACGAGGATGTCCAGCTGTGGAAGTTCACGCGCGGGTATCAGGACTATGGCCTCTTCCTCCGCCGCCTCGCTGAGTCCGTCGTCGGGTTCAACCTCCCACATCCTGCCCCGGAGCGTGACCAGGTGCGGATATCCCCTTCTTCGCTCCCTGAACGAAGGGCTCGAATAGTGAAGCTGACCGATAGCCTTTACTTCACTCCGTTACTGCGGTGCGAAGCCCGTGTCTCGGGTGATCAGTCTGCTAGACAAACTTGACGGTTGGATAGATGAGATTCCCCCGCTGCCTACCCCACAGAGATTTGGGAACCTCGCCTTCCGCACATGGGGAAGGCGTTTGGAGGAGGTGCGTACGCTCAAGGAAATCTGGCCGCCACGACTGCCGGCGCCGTAACTGCTTATCCCTACTATTGTGATGTGGTGCCTTGGAGCCCGCGGCTTTCATTTACTACTCGCTTACGCTCTGGCTTTCGTCTTGGGTTTAACATTATAGAAATCCACCTCCCTCTTACGCGAACTGCTTCCGGAGAGTCGCTATGCGGTAATTCCGTTCATGGAGCCCTATTGGCTGACGTCGTTCGGGTCGTTCGTGCGCATGGATTACGGGACGGGTCACGAGACATCCTTTGCGCTGTTCCTGCTCTGTCTGACACTCGTGCGCTTTCTCAAACCCGAGCCAGAGGTCGAGCGTCAAGTGGTATTGCACGTCTTCGTGCGATATCTGCGACTATGTTGGAGGCTGCAGGACGTTTACAAGCTCGAACCTGCAGGGAGCCACGGCGTTTGGGGCCTAGACGACTACCACTTCCTCAGCTATATTTTTGGCAGCGCACAGCTGAGAGGTAAGGCATGCCTGCCTCACACACGCCACATGTCTACTGACCGCCTGGGGATCACGGATACAGACCAGAAAGAGATACCCGTTTCCGCCGTGCTACACCCGCCCCTGCCTCCCACAAATTTGTATTTCATGTCGATCATGCGGATACACGAAGTCAAGTCCGGGCCGTTCCACGAACACTCCTCGCAGTTATACTCGATCGCCACCGGCGTCCAGTACTGGCACAAGGTGCACTCGGGGCTTTTCAAGATGTACGAGGTGCGTGGGCGTCGGCACCGGCGCGCTTTGGCTATGTAAGGATTCAGCTCACGGCTCAATTTAGGCGGAGGTGCTTGGGAAACGGGTCGTGGTCCAGCACATACCCCTTGGCGGGCTCCTCGCGTGGGACGACCCCCAGTCTCAGTCTCAGTCTCAGCATCGGTCCCCCTTCCCAAGCACGAACGCAGCCCCGTTCACTCAAGCCACGGCCGCGCCTTGGGCCTCCTCCACGACAGCCACGACCGCGCCTCCGTCTACCACGCTCCCGACGCGGACGCAACACACGGCCGCATTGCCCCGATCTGGCTATGGTTACACGACTCGGCTGCCAGCGGGAGTCAGCCCGCCCCCGATTGTGCCCGGACGAATGCCGCTTGGACCCACCGCGAGCACAGCGTTGCGTGCGACGGTTACTCCGGGGGTGGCGCCAAGGACAATGGCTCCGCCGCCGCCATCCACTGCGAGTCATCCTTCGAGTGGACAGGACTCGAACTCATGACTACGTAGGCGGTCGCTCAAATGAGTAGTGCGGCGTGCCTCGCGGAACTCGGATCGTCGAACGTGATTCTAAATGCTTCTTGCAATTTCTGTAGCCTTCTCGAATACCCCGCTATCCACCGACTATGTAGCCATGCTATTCTGTAACAATAGAGCACAATTTACCGGCTTACTTCTTGGATCGTCGTTGGTGGAGACCGAGACGCGCGCCCTCGACGCGCGGGAGAACGTCGGGCAGACCCCAAACCCGACTGACCTACCATAGTAGGCAAGTAGCACCGCTTCGGCATGTGCCGGCCGCGCGCGATTGGCTACCTTCCGACGGCTATCGATTGCGGAGAAAAAACCGAGGGCAGGGCCCTGCGCGCTGTCCTGTTCCCTCTTCTCTCTGCTGCACCCATCTCCTGCCCGCCCTCTCGCACACCTCGACCCACCCCTGTGCATCCAGCAGGGAGACCTCATCGCACAAGCGTACAAGTCTGCCGTCGTACCGCTGCAAGGGCTGCGACGCGCAGGCTAGCCAGGCCCCGCCACCATTTTTGACCAAGCGAGAAACGACGACCTCCGTCTGTTGACCCTCGAGTGAGTGCTTGCTCAGATTCTATCAGGATTTCGTATACCTGGCGTCATTTGTTGTTATCGCGCGGTTTGGGTCATGGCTTTGTCCCCCTTGCGTCCGCCTTAAGGCAATAGGGAGGCACTCAAACTGATTAGCTGCGGGCTATAAGATGTTGATGTATCACCTTTTCCGCACCACGGACGGGTTGTGCCCTCAGCGTGGAAGGTGCCGTTATGAGTGCTGTTGGCGCAGGCATCGGTCCCTCCCCGTACTGTCGTCCTCGCGAGACGTCCTAGTCGCAGATTGTTGTGGACGAACACTGCTGCCATCGATGCGTCTGCTGTGTCACGACGTCACTAGTGATGCACGCTCACAAAGCGCCTGTCGAGCCGCGGTTACCAAACAATCGTGTACGTCCGTGGTCAGTGCGCATGCGCACGAACGTGCCTGTTGGTTCGTTTGTGGATGTCCCGCCTCACAGTGGACAACAGCCTCCGCCACACGATAAGTGTGGCATGCTCTTAACATAGATTTCGCCTGTTCGTCCAGTAATATGGTAGCTGACCCCTGTGCTCTGCAGGTGGTCATCCGTTCGTGGTATGTCAAGGTACATGCTCGTGAGGTGACCTGTCTAACGCTGCCTGCAGGAGAACCCCCTTGACAGGACCCCCGCATTCCGTAACTCAAATAGCTATACGCCGGACCGTCTTCCGTGTCCCGAACCTTCTTGCTTCACCTCTCTGCACAGCAGACCTTCTTCCCTTCAAGCTCGTCCTCGCTTTAGGGAGCGAGGATCCCAACCCGACTGAAGGAAACCCTATAGTTACCGTCCCTATCCCGCCCGGCTCGTTCTCGCGACCGCGGCGGTAGGCTCGGTAATTCGGGTTCCGCGAATCGCCAACAAAACGACTATTTTCCCCGTCCCTCGGGAGAGCCCTCGCTTCCTCCCCCTGCTGCAAGCCACTGTCATAGACCAAGACTTAGAGCCCCACGACGCTCCCGGTAACCCCGAGGCAACTGAACGACGAATGTCTCAACTCGAGATTCTCACGGCAAGCGCCCCTGTAGACTTTGACTTCGACGTCATCTCCTGCTCTCCAACCCTCTCTTCTTCACTTCCGCGCTCGCACAACGAAAAGTACTTCACCAATGCCATTGTGAACGGACTCTTCTCTCCTATCGTACACTCTCACGACACCACTACTGGATACTCTCTCAAGAACTCGGACCGTCATTACGATGACGAAGTCTCTATTCCCGGATTGCCTCCGCTGCATCGCGGGCATATGGACGTACACCTCCGGAACGGCGTTATGAACGCGCTCCATCTCAGCGCCGACGGGGAACCCGATGCAGAGAAGGCGTTCTTTGTAGCCGACCTCAGCATCGTGTACAAGCAGCACGAGAGGTGGAAGAAGCTCCTTCCCGAAATTGAGCCGTTCTACGGTACGTATTCTAGCCCATGCAGCTTGGTTCTAGCAGCGGCTCATTTAAGTCATTTAGCCGTAAAGTGCAACCCGGACCCGTACGTCCTCCGGCTGCTCGCTGCCCTCGGGGCCAACTTCGATTGCGCGTCGAACAATGAAATCAAGCAGGTGCTGGACATCGGTGTCAATCCCGCCCGAATCGTATTTGCCAACCCGTGCAAGGCGACATCGTTCATTCGCAGCGCAGCCCGCGCGGGCGTCGACGCCATGACATTCGACAACACTGACGAGCTGCATAAGATCGCGCGCACGCACCCGGGTGCGAAGCTCATCGTGCGCATCCTCACAGACGACTCCAAGAGCCTTTGTCGGCTCGGGCTCAAGTTCGGTGCGCCCCTAGTGACTGTCCCCGCGCTGCTCGCGAAGGCGCGAGAGCTGAAGCTCGATGTCGTTGGCGTGAGCTTCCATGTGGGGAGCGGCTGCTACGACCCTAGCGCGTTCGCAGAAGCGGTGGCGCGCGCTCGCGCGGCATTCGACATGGGCAGGGAAGCCGGGTACGAGTTCAGCCTGCTCGACGTCGGTGGCGGCTTCGAGGATGCGACGTTCGAGACGACGGCCAAGGTTCTCACGGACGCAATTGATCGGCACTTCCCAGTTCGGGACCGGATTCGGATTATTGCGGAGCCGGGGAGGTACTACGTCTCCAAGGCGTTCTCGCTCGCGGCCAATGTCATCGCCCGCCGGGCGCCGCCTGCACACGAACAGACTTCTGGTACTTCTTCGCCCTCGGACGCCGAGATGGCTGCGGTTGCGGTTGCGGCAGCGGATGCCGCCGTCGTCGAGCAAGAGCAACCGAGCGTGATGTGTATGTGTCTTCCATTCCATCATCATTACATTTTCGTCATCTCCGGGACCCTCCCCATCTTGTTTCCCACCGTCTGCCACTTCGCATCGTCGTCGAGACTTTGAGCATGGATGCTGACCGGGGCTTTGTCCGCATGCAGATTACATCAACGACGGCGTATACGGCGCGTTCAACTGCATCCTGTTCGACCACCAGTCCCCTCAGCCGTACGTGCTCTCCCTCAACGGCTCGTTTCACGTCCCCGCGTCGATCCCGCTCCGCGCGGCGTCCGTCTGGGGCCCCACGTGCGACTCGCTCGACTGCGTGTGCAGCATGGTCAAGCTGCCCGCGACGCTCGAGGTCGGGGACTGGCTCGGGTTCGAGAACATGGGCGCGTACACGGTCTGTGCCGCGTCGCAGTTCAACGGGTTCGAGGTCAGCAAGGTGATCTACACCACCGGCGCGGGACCGGGCGCCGCGGAGGTCCGCGAGGCCCTCAGGGCGTACGAAGTTTGACGTGGAGCGAAGCTTTCGGCGGACAGGGGGGGATACACGCGGTCAGACGACTTGCGTGGTGGGGTAATTGCGCCATCCTCGAGCCAGAAGCATCGCGAACCTTGGTTAGTGCGTTGATAAACAGTGCGTCCTGGGCGACTCAGGGCGAGCGCCGCCGGTCGTTGGGCTGAGGGATGTTTCGTGCTGACGTCGTCTCTGTTGGATCCATGAGCTTCTTTTCGCGTCACGGAATGATTATCACGGACACTCGCGGACTGCGTTGTGATGTATTCTCGCTCTCGGGCCCCTGCTCGCGCTTTTGCTCACGCGTATTTGTCGTTGCGGTAGATCTGAATGAAATAAGATGTGTGACCTATGATCAAACGTACGAGAGGTCGTGCGTGCACATGATATCCCCGAAAGATAGATGGATGTTATTTGACGAGTGTGCCTGCAGGGCGCAATGGCCAAGAGGCTGAGCACAAAGGAAACGGGGTTCACACGGCTTCGGCTCCGTACCATGCGGTCTCGGGCCCGGAAAGGGATGGGAGGGGAGGCAAACAGGTCAGGCACGCCGTAGACAGCGACACTGGATTGGGGGTTGCTGCGCTCCCAGGCTCATACCGCCTCGTGACGTATCTCTCTAGCTTCGGCGTCGAGGGGCACACGCCGGATGCGGCTCAGCTGGGCGCGCGCGCGCGCGCGCGAGGTCGGTGGGATCCTGGCGAGATGGGCGATCTGCGGCTGATCGAGCTGAATCTAGGGGCACTCGGTGGTCGCTGCCTCTGGCGGATTGTGCGGTGCGAAGGCTCACATTGGCTTTGGGTCTCTCTCTCATGCTACTCATGGTCGCTTTGCATTGGACCCGATCGCTCGGTGCTGAGGTTGACAGACAGCTGTACCTACAGAACGAAAGAAGAGAGGAGAAGGGGCCAAGAGCGCGGGAGCGCAAGAAGAAAAGGAAATACTTGGCGGGGTTCACGCGTCCTTGCCACGGCTCCAATTCTAGGTCTCTCCGCATCCACCCATTCCGTCGCCCGGCCCGCGGTATTCCCGACAGGTGCACTAGAAGCTGACGCTGCGCAGGATGGCTGCTGTGGAGACTCGGTCGTCGTTACGTCCGACCGGTCAGGCCGATTATCCAATGTCTAACCTTCCCCAGGGAGGCCCTGTCAACGCCGTCCATCGCATTCCCAATAGGACCGCAGCATCTGTTCGCTGCAAATTCCAGGTTGCGGTCTGCCTGTCAACCCGTCGTAACTTGCGAGGCTCGCTCGCACTTGGACCCCCCGACCCGAGGGCGCTTGCGGCATGCTTCGGAGCAGCGTTGACAGTCGATCGTGGCACGGTGTGCTTGAGCACGCGCCGTCCTCGGCCAACAAATGAGACGTGCTGCGCACCATATCGTTCGCCGACGACGAACGCACAGAGAGTAAGTAAGACATTGATTCCCCAACCTTTTACCGGGCGGGCGACTGCACTATTCGGTTGCCGTCGTGGTTACGAGGGGCCCAGGGCCGTTTTCCAGCACTGGAGTGCCAGCCATCTCGTCAACACGTCATGCAGACACATTCCGCTGACCTTCCGCTTTTGGTCGTTCCGCACTGGACCCGCCTCTGCCCACGCCGCTCCCACTCTTCCAGTCGGGCTTCGTTTTCTTCGGTGAGCGGTTCGGTCGTCGGGCCCGTTCACGAGAGCGTCATGCGTAATGTCCGTAGCGCACCCGGAGACGTGCTTCCCTGCGCACGTCCTCCGCGGGATAGCCTTTCCACGCCCAATACGCTCGCCGTGTTTTTCGCGCTGCCATGCAATTCAATTACATGAGCTGAGAACGCGAACCCCGAAGGGGTAAGTGCAATGGCGAACTCGCGGCCCACCTGATCGCTGGATTTTAAACTTCTTCGCGTTTCGCAGCCGTCCGGGCCACCTCCGACGACACGACATCTGCGCAACCACCTTATATTAGATAATCGGACCCAGGAGCAAGGGCGGTGGGCGTGGGCAAGCTCAGCGTCCCGCGAAGACCCGGGCTTGTCTGGCTCGAGATGCATCTTTGATCACCCCCACCCTCTTTCTATATCTATGTGATCGAAAGTGCCGAGGCTCGGTACCTCGACAGTCCATCCCGAAACCGGCACAACGGTTCTGCGGGGAATTCTTCTGTGACCCAAAAATTACTGTCGACCGTTGGGAGGAATGTGCACAGATCATCGGAGTCAGTTACGGGCTGGTGTCGTAATAAACCTGCGCTGGGCTGCCTCTTTCTCTGTTTCCGCGCGCATATGATATATGGGCTGTGTGGTTGACGCTAGAATGCCCTTCCCCCGCCTGAGCCGCTGCGCCCCCTTGTCTCTCGAATTACCGACCCGCCCCTTCCTTGTGCACAGTGCACACTGCCTTATTACAACATCGGCAGCAGCAGGTGTCCGCCCGTGTAGCGGACTTACAGTTCATCCGTAAGCTCTGGGTTCACAGCAGCCCCGCAACAGGGATCGGTCATCTGAACTGCAGTACCCCTCGGGGAGCAGACTTCACAGAAAAAGGGCTTTGACGTTGTCTTTGCGCCCCTCGCGACCCTCCCTGTCCAATTAAATGGCTTTGGGAACTAGCCGCTTCGCCAATATGTCCTCTGGTTTGCTCTTGGTGAGCAGTCTTCGTCGGTCACATTACCTGCACTGCTACCGAGTGGCTCATTAACGTCCGTCGTGATGTGTTTGCTCGAGCAGGATCCTCTCCCTTCTCCCACCGCGGAGCACCCCACCAACGGAAAGCCTTACACCCCGTTTCCAAGCCCGGACCATCATGTCACCAAGGCCCGCTACATTACTAGCAATGACCCTCGTGGATATATGTGAGTGTCCACTCAAATTGAGTTCTGTCCGTTGGATGGCTGAACGTCCCCAAGACCTGTGTACGAATACCCTTTGAATGGGCAGTGGATTATGTTAGACATGGACGACGGATACATCCTTTGGACTGGAATCTGGAAGGGTGAGTGCTAGCCTCATGCTGCTCTGTCCTGCCACTTACGCAGCCGCACGCGCAATTCATAGCTCTAGGAAACTCAAAAGGTATGACACATGAGTGTTCTCAGACGCCGACATTGTTCCTTATGAGGTTCCCGTAGCGGACATTGTTAAGATTATTGACTCGCAACCCGACCTCGCTAGCCAGCTAAGACGGGTCAGAGGGGGGTATCTCAAGATACAAGGGACTTGGATGCCATATGATATTGCGCTTCGTTTGGCACGGAGGTGAGCGCGCTCGGTATGACGATGTCAGTTTGTCACTCATGTGTTTTAGGGTTGCATGGCCCATCCGCTACGATCTTGTTCCGCTGTTTGGGTATGTCCATTGCTCACACCCCCTCGCGCAGTTTTCTGAATGACTGACGAGTCCTCCTAGCCCCACCTTCCCGAGCTTGTGCTTACCTCCCGACGATCCGGGATTCGGACAGATCGCGAAGCCTGGAACGGGCAAACGGCGGGCTCGTCGCAACCCGCCAAGCGAGATGCCGTTAGACTCTAGGCACGACTGGTCAGTTTTCTCACCGGGGGACTCAGGGCCACCGAGCATGGGACCGCCGTCGTCCCGGAACACGATGGTCATGTCACACACTTTCGCGACGCAATCAGGACGCCACATCGACGCGATTGGCGTCCACGGTGCTCATGGACAGAGCGATTCGCCTGTCATGCTTCATGTGCCGTACGTCGAGCGGCCACACGCATTACCTACTTCGTCGACCTCGAGCGGCTTTGTCCACGGTGCTGCGCGGCAACTGTCGCCAACCCTTGATTCGGCGAGCCTGCGCTACTCTCCATACCCAAGTCCCTTGTCATCCACATCCTCGCGTTTCAGTGGGTCTTCTCAAGGGGGGAGTTCGGTTGACATCTCTCCGACGTTTACGCGGCCTCCAGCGGGGCGCGCAGTGCCGTCCGTGGGCGAGACAATCAAGCTGCCGCCCATTCAACCTCCCAACCGCCGAGCGAGCGAGGACCATGACTCCTTCCAGCTCCCTCCCATCTCCGCCATGGACAAGTTGCGCGAGACGCAATGCGATGAACCTATGGCGGTCCTTCGCCGACTCCAGTACACCGACGACAGTGGCGTGGACGATCTGCCTAGAGCTCGGCGAGTTATGTCGGCCGAGCATCTGGCGCAGCGCAGGCATAGCCTAGCGGACCACATCAATACTTCGTGAGAGCTCCTCCATTGCATCCTCCATTCTTCTATGTTCGCTCATCGTTGCCACTTGACTAGTTCCGACACGTCTTTGTTCGCCAGCGCTCGGACCAATGGGCCGCCCACACCAGTGAGCGCCGCCGCAGCGCTCTCGCCGTCGTTCCGCCTACCGCAATCTAAGCGCGAACACCTGCCTCGCTCCGCTTTGGAACCTCCTCCCTCGTCATTCATGCACACAACGCGGCGCACTCCTCATGACGTTTCCATGTCGAGGTCAATGCCCCCTTCGCCTTATCTTGGACCTTCGCACTCGGACTACGGAGACCGCCCCCGCCTCGACGAGCGCTACATGACGGAGCGAGCGTTCTATGGTCAGGAACGACCGCCTAGCCCTCCGCCCTCAGCCTCGTCTGCTAGTGCGGAAAGTCCTTCTCCGTCTGATTCCGCCAGGTCCGGATGGCGACCTTGGTAACTGGGAGGACAACTGCGCTTCACAGAATATTATGACCATGGCATAGATCATCGGGACTGTTACTCCGGATGGAACAGAAAGATAAGTAACGCGTAGGACGGCTTGTATTTGAACGTAAATTATAGCTCTTCTAGTTCGATTTGTCGTTGTTCATGCTGTCGCTTCTGTTCTATCTCTATATATCTATACTCTAGTTGGTCTGTACTTGCCTGGACGTCTGCTTATTGTGTACAGAACTACTCTATACTGGGGTTTGAGGGGTAAATTCTTTGCGGTGTGGCACTACGATTGTCCATTTGTCTGGCTGACAAATGATCAGACAAATGATGAGAAGGTGCTGTAGTTTCTCAGTTCCTGAAATCGGTCTCCTGCCCTCGTGCTCGGACTTCCTAGGGAAGTTTCTGGTCGAACTGTCAAACGAAGCCTGCTTCGTGTAACCACAGAAACCTCTGCTGCACTTAATCATCTCATCATTGTGCCGCATTGTGTCAGAAGCAATGTTCCTTGAATGACTTTATTGATCTGACGTTTCTTCATTATACATGAGTTGCCGACGCAGCTTGTCAACAGCTTATCTGAGCAATCTCATTATACTGGCGGGTGGTGGGGGAGGCAGGGGAAGGGCGGGAAAGCCACGATAGAGGACAGGACTGATAGTGCCGTTCGGACAATCGACACGCGCTTCTGGAATTTCCTGCATGATTGACCTGGGAAAGGTTATATCCTGTCGGGACCGAGAAATCTGACAGGGACCCGCCGACTCGTACCTAGCAAGGTCGACTATCTCGCGCTGACATTGCCATTCCACGAAGACCCTCAGGCCTGACAAACAGCGATGTCTGGAATCTGGATGAAGCTGACCCTGCGTCCGCCGGTCGCAAAGTCCTGTTATACTGCGCCACGATACAGCTGTCACGACCATAGACTACTTATGTACAGAGACGTACCGTCGGGGCAAGTAGTCGCTACGGGATGATGGAGGCGTATGAAATGGCGTAAGCCGGAGTGCGCGCAAACAACCTCGACGCTGCAATTAACAGCTAAGCGAAATTGGGGCTTGAACTTGAAGATCTCAAGCGCGGTCTATGGAATCGGGGCGAATATTGACAGCGCTTAACGGCTGCTCTGTCCACTAGACGAGTATCATCGGATACTTAAGTACCACCAGGGAGCCGCCTCGTTCGTAGTCGTGTGCTGTACCGATTTTCCTCCCAATACTACCAAAAGCTCACCGGTTTTACAGGTTTGGACGTCAAGTCCGTGCGTCCGCAAATTCACGAGTGTTCAGAGTGAACATCTAGTGTCAGAGAGACCGACCCTTGCCTTCGCATGCGCTTCCAAGTCGTGTCGACATGCTACGGAGGCTGACGTTCGGACAATCGCAAGGCGGACACATGTAGCCTTCGGATGAACCACGCCGAAAGTGGGCACAAGTGCAAAATTCCATGGACGGGCCGCTCGCATACCGATCGCTCATGTAGACCGAGATTTGCGACTGGTTCCGAGGGTATGGTACGGGAACAAGGGGACAAGCTGAGTGAGCCAGATCAAGGGGATAGTCGGGCAGCCCCGCTGTGTGCCTGGGCAAGCGGCCTACCCTGTGGCGGGGATGCGGTCCAAGTTCAAGTCCTACTCCCATCATTACTATTGAAATATTGGTGCTTGCCAAGTAGAATCATCAGCCCGAAGCCAGTAAAGGTTGTAGAGAAGGGTCAGCAACTATATGTAAGGCAACGAACCTGCACAGGAGCATGGACATCAACTCGGCTCGATTGCACCCGTTCCGCACGCGCCTCGGGAAAGGCACCTTCGAAATATCCATTGGAAGTTGGCGCAAGTACTGTCTGTAGAGTGACGTACAAGTGGATCGGTATGATAAGTACCATTCTCTCACCTTCTGTACGGAGCAGACCGTACACGCTATGCTTCAGTTGGCAGCCTGGTGCGTAAAGCGATCTGTAGGGGTCATCTGACTGAACTGACGGTATGCAAATCAGAGCAAGTCAGAAGAGGTTAGAAGGCCCGCCCAGCTTTAGCCATGAAAGGAAGAAAGGAAGGGTCGCTACGTACTGTTCACACTCGATAAACCTTACGCTAACGACTACAGAAAAGCGAAGGGAAAGGCCCGCGACGAGAATCAGATATGGGAGCAGCGCGGCCACGGTGACTGAAGTGTGCGATATTCCAACCGTGAGGAAAGCCTGGAAAGAGGAGAAGCGCGATCAAAGTTTCATTTGAACCAATAACGGTAATTTACCTGGAGGGCCTGCCATGAGAAGGCGTCGGAACGCTCTCTCCTTTGAGCATCCCGGGCTACCACGACCAGTATGGCAGGCCCGGTTAAGGAGTCGTTGCTCTGCCTAATCTGGCTTCATTCGCAGCCCTAGGTTCTAGCGTCACGGGCATCCGCCTGTTGTTCATCAAAGAAGGTCCTCGTGAGCGCACGGAGCGGCTTCTGTGTCCTCAAGACTCATAGCCGAAGTCATTAGTCCGCTACCAGGCGAATGTGATCGATCGTAGAGATAGGAAAGGAGTTTTGGGAGGTCGTGTTACGGTGTCGCCGATGCGTGTACCCTAGAGAGGTGACTGGGGTGGTGGCGTCATGCAACGGCCAGTTGTAAAAATATTGAACGCGAGCTGTATGACGTCGCATGCGCCACCATCGAGGGTAACTTTGGCACCGGGCAAATACAATACTCTTTCCCCACTATACATTGAAGTACCATTTGAACCACTGGAGTAATAGGCATAAGGTTACGGAAACCGACCAACTCATTCTGCCTGCCTACCGTCTTGAGCGGGTCCCAAGTATGAATGTATGGATGTCAAGATGAGAAACGCCATTTGGAACATGGCGAGCAGCCAATTCGATCACTAGGATATAATTATTTGACGACTAGGCCTGAGCTCTCCAACCGCCAGATAAATACATGCTACGTACCTGACCCCCGACTAAGACCAGTATTCCGGCGAAAGTTCCGGCAGAAGTGGTGCAAATGCCGTCGCCGGCAAGAGGCACGCGATCCATCCGACCATCCAAGGAGTGCTGAAGCGGTCGAAACTCCTTGCTGGGTGCTCTCCGACCGTTGGTATGCACTTCAAATGCAGGAAAATTAGGAGCAGCCGGTTATGCTGGTGAAGCAATGGGTGCTATTCAGTATCAGGGATCTCCAGCATCTCCCCGCTGTTCTCGCGCAAGTGATTACCCACGTCACCGGCGGATTCGGCATTGTACGGCATGGGGTACCCACTTACCCACAGGTCACTGTGCGCACATGAGGCAAGCGTGGCAGGCTCTGCGCCGTCCCACCACATCGGCTCATGTAGCGCCCACAACGGGACATTTCGGCGACCCCTGGCATGGATTGAGGATGGTCAGGCTGGTATTAGGAAGACACAAGACATCCCGACACGATTCCTCGCGAGAGGTATCGAGACCCGGTTTGAGGTACAATGTGACGGGTGGCATTTCTTCGCCGCGGTTACCGCGACGGACATAGACGTCGTATCCTGCTGTCAAGAAGTGCCGCCGAATATCAGCCAGCGGCCAAGTTCGGCAACATCGTTCGCAGCTTTCAACACAACAAGGTGCGCGTTTTGTAAATCCTGCAGAGGGCGTGGGTTGTGCCCCTTGAAACCTCAGTATGTTATGCCGAAGCTGCAGAAGGGAACGTACCGCGGTCGGACAGGACTTGCTCTTGGCCGCCTAGAGGTAGAGCCGTCTACATAGGAGATTCCCCTCAGTGACACCCGGACATACGTGCGAGACTTCTAGCGGCTAACATAACGTGCCCTCATATCAGAGCAGCGTCTCGACGAGCGCAACGGATGTCGGAGCACATCTGCTGCCGCTATCTGCCGATATGTCAGGTGCCATGATCAGGGCAGCAGCGAGCTGAGCTTTCGATTTTCCTGTTCTTCCCTTCAAGTTGGCAGGGAATCCTGGCGGAGCGTGCGAACTAACCACTTACGACGACGATAATTGCGAGCTTTCTCCGATGTCACGACTGCGCATCGGTCTCCTCCCTACAGGATGGTGAACTTAAGACGGGATTCGGATATAATCAAAACTACGTGGAGCTTACGGGATTCTATAATTCTCAGGAATTCTATGATTTGCTTCTAAGCATCCTGTGCCAGGAAGGTGCTAAGCGAGGCTAAGCGGCGTGTTCGTGCTCGGTTGGGGGGCCGAATGGAAGGGGGAGTCAGGCGATTGGTCTAATTGTGAATGGTATGTCATAAAATAATGCGTACCAGGTCCCATCAGCGCGCGGGGTCCTGTCCGGGTGCCGCGATAATGAAGCAACCGCTCCGAACCGTCCTTCATCAATGTTACTACGTACATTCACGAAGGGCAATGAACAGTGCGCTCATTCCGGGAAGCGATGAGGCAAATCTGCAGTGTAGCATATTTACTGTCATCGTAATGAGTAGATGTCGGGGTGGCCATAGGAAATGAGTAGCGGCACACATTGTCAGAAATCATCGGCTCGAGAGGGTTACAGAACCTATTGTCCGTGAGAACAGGTCTTTGCGCAATCGATGGCCCTATGACGTCGGTGATATGTAGTTAGGATCAGCTAGCTGAGTTCTGAGACTTGATACGCAGATGAACTGACATGGGAATATTCGTCGTTGTCCAAATCAAGACACTTAGCTAGTTCGGCGATTGTTGAATGTCGCCAATAATTCACAACGTTCCCGCCAGTCCGCGCCCTACTATCTGGCGCAGCATCTTGTGCCGTGGCTTTGGACTCCATGCACACACGTCTGGTGACGCCGTCATTTAGCTAGAAGCTTTTATTCTTTGGCGAAGAGCCTACTTACTTGTAATACTACCATGTGCTGAACATCTCTATCCTCCGCGGGGTCCCCGACCAGGTAGGGTCAAGTTCGACTCAGACTTACATTTTCACAGGTCCTGAATGTCTACAGATCATTGTGAGCGCATACGGTATACCAGACGTGTGTAGCGCGAGAGGTGGTCGGATTCGACGAGTTGCAACTTACTTCCCAGTGGGCGCTTCCCGGAATACTCGGTAGCGTCATCGTGACCGTGACAGGTAACGCCGTAGCTCACTGTGCTGCACGGTCCGGAACGACCTTCTTGCGTCCTCCACGCCCGCCAACTCTGGGACGAGCCAGTCCGTACGTCTTTGAATCTCTAGCAGCAACGACTGATTGCTTGACAAACGCATAGAGCGCATGATACCCGGTGGCAAGTACAGCAAGACGTTTCTCAGATCAAAAGATAGGCAGAACTTCACGAAGTCACATAGCGGCAATGGCGACTGCAACTACGCGCACGCTCCCTACTCCCCCTCCCCCTCTATCGTATCAACCCGCCTCGCCCTCCAAGAAGGACTCTGCGCTGAAACCGAACCCTCATCCATACGCGATCAAGACCACCTCCACCGGAATCCTTACCCGCTCAAACTCTTCCGGATACAACGCTAATGCTACTTACCATCACTACATTCCTACGTCTCCGAGTCACAATCGTTTCGATTCTGGCAAGGGACATCGCTCTACCAAGTCTTTGACAGCTGTCCCCGAGTCGCCTGGACGTGAGGCACCACGTCCGCTCCCCATTCCACCGGAACTCGACCACATGCGGAATCGTAGGGATGGAAGTGGCGGTAGCGGAGGATATGCGAGTGCAGACGAAGTCAGCAAGGCTTCGAGGCGCCCCAGACGCTCCGAGACTCTCCCTATCATCCCTCTTCCAAGCCCGGCTCTGTCTGCGCCGCCATCGGTTGATGACCTTCCTGAGAACCCAAAGTTGTGGACGCCGTCTCAACTTGCAACATATCTGACTACCGCTCTTCGGATGACATCCTCTGGAAAGGCCGGAGAGATTGAACCGATTGGTTTGCCCGCCTTGGTGGCGAAGGACATTGCGACATTCGTGAAGAGTGCAAGGATTGGAGGACGGACCTTCCTGCGGTTGAATGAAGAGGATCTCGAAGCGTGAGTCCTGTTTTTCCGAATCATGTCACCGGCGCGGCCTCGTTGGGATCGGTCCCCACGTAAGAGGACATAATCGCCGTACCAGACATGGCACGGTGGTCTGTGGTAACTGCCTGCTTTTAGCGGCCGACACCACGGCGCGCAATAATGTACGTGGGTCCTTTACGGACTGTGCATTTGGGAATGGTCAGGAGTTAGTGGCATCCTCCCGAATGCATCCTTCGAGATGACTGGCACTATCTACCGGGGTGTACGTCAACAAAAACCCACGCTGGGTCACCTCTCTTTCGTGTTGTCGTAGCAGACTAGTGATGTACAACATGAGTCGCGCTCCGTTCTGTACTATCATAACTCACCAGCCTTTATTGCCTCTGACCTTCGCGCCTGTATCATCGTGCTAACTCAATGGCTTCCCATCTGCAGGCTAGGCATGAACAAAAAATGGCGGGACGCTCTCCTCGTCGCAGCTCGCAACCTCCGCCAGAACGTCTTGAAGGGCCGCATCTGGGGCGCCGTTACATCTCCGACTTCCTCCCCTTCTCCCTCTTTCCCTCCTAGCCCTTTTGTGGCTTCCCAACCCGAGGCATCCCCATCTGTATCTCCGACGCGCATTCAAGGCCAGTTCTACTCCAACCCAGCTTTCAACTCGTCCTCGTCATCTGTCAGCTCGTCAGCTTCAAACTCTGCTGGTGAAGAGAATGAAGCGACCGAGGGCGCCGCGCTGGGCCGATCCAAGGCGAGGAGGTACAAGAGCGGCCGGGTGCGCGGTATGATCGAGACGTTCGAACGGAGCGGGAGCTTCAGTTCAGACGGTGGCTTCGAGGACGAAGGCGCTGCACCCCCTTCGGCCGACCGCACCAGCGCACGCAAGTGGATCCGCGAGCAAGCTCAGGTTCAAGCACAATTCACTGGGCAACGCGTAGTTGAAAGCCCGAGTCCCTCCAGGCGCCGCCCGCTCCCAGTACCTCCTTCTCCGAGCGCATCCCACAAGCTTGTGGACGAGGAGCCCACAATGGAGGCTCTACTGGCAGAGCTCGCGAAGCAGCCGCCCGTGACTGGCGCTCGGGCCTGGGAGGAAGTGGACCTTGCTAACGGCGTCACCGTCAAACGCGTACCGGAGCATGAGACACTCATTGGCCACAAGACCATCAGCGGCTTGGGCAGCGGGCGGAGCAGCGGCAACAGTAGCAACGGCAAGGGCGGAGAGCGGCGTGTTGTGACCGCGATTTTTGCCCCTATCGCGTCCGAGCATCCTGCTGCCGAGCCACTTGAGCCGCTCGACCCCACCGAGGGTCTGACGGCGTTCGCTGCGAACACGTCCATCCCCACGCCTCCGCCCGAAGAGCAGTCGTCCCCGTCCAAGGCGCACTCGCGACCCCTTCCGCCGGCCCCAGTGCCTGAGGAGATCATCCCGGAAAGCAGAGAGCTCGAGACACGAGATGAAGATGCGATCCGGCTGGAGCGCATGCTCGAGGAAGAGCTGCTCATGACGCGTGCGTTGCTCGACACTTTCCGCGCGCGGCTAGAGATCGTTGAGCAGAAGGTCACAGACCTGGAGGCGCGTGAGGCGCTCCGCGACACAGCGGGGCAGGCTCACGCACAGACACCTGAGCTCAGCGCTGTGCAAACCCTGAGCGAGAGTCGAGTTGGAGAACAGGCCATCGCGGCGCAAGTAGTGTCCGTGGAGATCGGCGTGCAGTCAACGGGCGTCGTCGCGGTGGTCGAAGCTACGGTCCAGAGCGACGGATCGGACACGAACGACACAAAACATGATAACTACCTGCCGCCCAAACCTGTGGGACCTAGCTCCCGCTCAGTCGGAAAACGGGTGACGCGCGGCGACGAAGTCGAGAAGCAGGAGGAGCAGCCGCCGTCCTACCTGGCCGACCTCCCTTCCTATGTCTTCCTCGTCGGACTGGGCGTATGTGCCGTCGTGACGCAGGTCGTGCTCCGGCGGGTGTTTGGTAAAGGCGTTTGGCGACCGTGACTCGTGCGCGATCGCCGACGAATCTCACCCCGCTTTGTCTGTACCCTCGTGGCCATGCTCATAGGTCTCATCTCGTATGTGTGGACACTTCATGTTGGACGTTGCTGCGCGTCGAGCTAGTCGGTGTTGCGTCTCCGTCGTCCGTGATCATATCTACTATGCTCATATACTCGTCGCCACTATGTCAGACAATCTGCCTTTCTTGTTCGATCTCCTGTGCTTACTGGTCGTAGTCAGTGCAGTCACCATGCGCTCCCTCCTCCACTCCTTGCCTCGGATTTGGTTCTTGACCTTCCCATTCCCGATTTGCTATCTGTGTATGCTGATACTCCGATTACGACACGATCATCTCACGACCACTCACGACCACGACTTATGACTGCTTATGTCTATTCGTTTACAAGCTCCGATAGTTCCGATACTTAGCTTCAATCTTCACTGTACTCACCCATCTGGTCGAATGCTATTCTCAGATATCCCGTCTTGTCCTGCACATATCTGCAAGAATCCTGGTTCTCCCGGTCCGAATACCATTACCACCTACGACCGGTGAGCACTCGCCTCTCAAACCCGTGTAACCTCGTAAGTTCGATCATCCCGTAAGCTGTCAATATGATGATCTATACTTGCGGCGCAGTGTCAAATGTGACATAGATAGCTTCGGATCCCAAAGTAGACGGGAGTTTGAGCTGAAAGTGCGCAGGGGAAGCATGGCAATATATAGCGTGACGTCGATAGCAAGAGTAAAATAAGTGGATTAGATACCGATCACCCTCATGAGCAGGTATCCAACGGTAGCGACAACCTGTGTGCTTCGCTCAGACCACAGCCGAATTCATACGTCCTTCGAATACGTACCGTGGTTGCGATGAGACTTGCAGGAACGCCGACTTTCAGGAAGTCGACGTTCGAAAGGTATAGCTGGCCCATCTCATCCACTTGTGTCGCCCTGCATGTCGATGATCCGGTACTTAGCAACAACCCAAAGAGGCTGAACTGGCAGGTACCTACGCAGTCTGGTTCGGGAAGCCTGAGACAGGCATTCCCATTCCCGTTGAGCAGATGAGACCGGTGATGAAGATGAGGAGGTTCGAGTAATCGCCCCCCGGTATGCTCTTGCCAACTTCCTGCGCAATGGGCACGAGAAGCACCGCGGCGATTGTATGGCTTATGAATGTTGAGATGACCTGCGCCCGAAGTTGTCAATACTTCGAAGCCAACATTCCTTCGAAGCGGTACGCACGACAACAATAGCGGACAAAAGAAGCACGACGGGGTACAGATCCATGCCCGAGATCGAATGCCTGATGCCGTCTCCGATGATGTTGAGCAAGCCGCTGTTCGTCACTCCCTGTCCGAGGGCGATACCACCCATGGCGATGAACACGACCGACCACAGGAACTGCTCAAAGTCGTCCTTCTTCAGCACGCCCGTCGAGAAGAACGCGACGATCGGAATGATCGCGATCACGCCCATGTCCCCGATGTACTCCTGTATCGAGTGCGCAACACACCAGAGTGCGATCGTCAGCAGGCACACGAACGTGACCCACCACTGCTTCGCACTGAACCGCTCGCGAGCGGGGCGGATCGGCTTGATCGTGATGTCGCCGTCGCCCGTGGGCGAGCGCGCCGGGCGGTAGGCGGCGAGCAGCAGGAGCCAGATGAGCACGATGGAGATGGCCGAGACGGGAAGCGAGACGGCGAACCAGGAGCCCCAGTCTAATGGGGGCTCCATTTGGCCGATCGCGATGAGGTTCTGAGGTGAGGAAATGGGAGAGCTCTGACCACCGATGTTGGCTGCAAGTGCGATACCGATCTAGTGGACTGACGTGTCAGGAGGTGGCTTGGGCAACGGATGAGTGGCCTACGTACAATCAAGCAAGGGGCAAACGACGACTTGGGTGGTAGTGTTCGCAGAATGGGCTGTAGAAGCCAAGTCAATGACGCATCTCAAATGAAGGAATTTGCCTGCACTTACCTGAACAAGAGTGAAACAAAGAGTGGGCGCTGCTACGTTACTGATCCACATGCTAGCAAAGCAGGCAACCCCCATGAACGCCAATATCACCGTGCTCGGACGTTCGCCAGCGATGCTCAAGACTCGTGTAATGAGGACACGGTCAATTGCCGTCTTGCTAATAGCCGATGCGATGGTGAAGCCACCTATAAGGAGCATGATTGTCGGTGAGAACATCTTCGAGAAGACGAATCTGCACTTTGTCAGTTGGTATAACACGCTGACAAAAGGCGTTACCTACTTGGTTGCATCGGGGGCGGAGAGAGGTCTATCCCCGTCGCGAATCACTCGCAGGACAACGAGAAGCAACGGCACGAGCGTAGACGTCACAAACAGCGGAATAGCCTCCGTCGCCCACAGGATCGTCGCGAACACCAGTATCGCGAAGCACCTGTTTGCCTGCGTTCCATCTACGACCTCCACGTTCAGCAGCACGCCGAACACTACGACCGCGATCGTGAAGTACAGCATCTGCGACGTCAGCTTGATCCGCCCCGCCGGCGTCTGCACATTCAGCAACCCCTTCTCAGGTTCGACAATCAGCGTGCCGCCCATCGCGATCATCCCGCCATCCTCCCCACGCCTGGCCTGGCCGATCATCTGTCGCCACACGGTGTTGCGCTCCCAGGCGATATGCTCGCGCTGGTGGAGCTTCAGCTGCCGCCGTGCCTCAACCGAGTCCCCGCGTGTCACGCAGTGCGCGTAGAGGTCGATCAGGAGCGAGATCTTCGTGTTCAGCTTGTCTTTCGAGGCCTGTTGGAAGGGCACCGCCTGCTCGACAACGTCGTGGAGGTAGCGGTCCTGGAGATTGCTCTCCGTCACCTTGTCATACCTACGCACCATGGTAAGAATATCTCATATTGTGAGCACCAAGGGGGACATACTTCTTCAGGATCTTGCGGAACCCAGAGTAGTTCAGCTCGATGTATGACTTGAGCGATGTCGCGACAACGTAGAGGTTCGTGATCTTGCGCTTGAACAGCAGCTGCGTGTCCTGCGCGTAATTGTTCCGCGCCGTCCACACCGACTCCGGCAAGTTGGAGCTCGTGGTCGAAATCAGGCTGTCTTTCAGCGTCCGCGCGATAGCCCGAGCTCGAACAAGAGGCGACTTGCTGCTCCCCCGTCCGACTCCTGTACCAGAGGGTCCGCCATTGGGCTCGAGCGAGGCGACGCTCGCTTCAATGTCCTCATGTTCGTCGTCGCTAAGCTTGGGGAATATCTGGTCCAGTGGCTGCCTGTTTCCTGAAGATCAGTTAGTCACGCCTGAGGGTTCCGTGCCAGACGCAAAACAGGAGACTCCAGTATGTGAGAACATGGATACGAGGGCAGCGCATTGAATACCTCCTTGTGAAGGATGTGTATTCCCCCGGAGCGCCCTTCGGCCAAGGGAGAAGACTATGATTCGTGTGGTGAAGGAGGCGGAAATAACGCGGAGGTCGAAGAAATGATAGGGAGCGACACGGCGCGGACGATAAACTTTCAACAAGAACAACGTACCTGCCCAAGGCGGAGCATTGCTCGCTGACCGCGAATGCCTCCGTCTCCTTCGGCTGGGCGACTGCGTCTGGTCCTGATTCAACGTCGCCGTCGGGCTTTGCAGCTCAAAGTCGTCGTCCTCGTCGTCGTCCTCCCCAGACTCGTCCACGTAATGGTGCCCCGCGTACGGTCCGTTCTCCTCGTGCTGGGCAATCTCCTGCTGCAGTGCCGTTATGTCGTCCGACAGGCGCTGCTCTTCCGTCTCATAGAAGACGGATATCTTCTTCAGCTCGCGGTCGAGCAGGGGGACGAAGAACGCATCGGTGTCGGCGCCAGAGCTGTCTCGGCCGATGAGAGCGCTGCGCTCGTTCGCCTCGAGGTCGTGGTAAGACTCCTGAAGGCCTGCCTTCTGCTTCTCGAGCTGGTAGACGTGCTTCTTCAACGCTTCATAACTTTCCGAGGACACCCTAAGACGAACAGCATATGGAGATGACAGAGGGATGAACGCACGCAATGTACTCGTCCCACCACTCCGCTACGGCATTGAACTTCAAGGAGGAACTGTTTCACGAACGTCGTGAGTAGATCCAGTGTGAAACGAAACGATAGCACGCACCTGAACTTCATAGCGAAACGGGCAAGATCGAGGGGTGGTACAAGAGTTTGTGCAGTCCGCGCGCTCGCAAGGGGCTTCAGTAGGATGTGTTCTTCACGGGTCCGAGAAGTGCCTACAAGCTTGAGAAGAGCTCAATCCGCATGCCTCACACGAGGAAATTGTTTGCCTACAGGCCGCAGTCCGGAGAATCGGGGAATGGTGGGAAAGCAGCGTGGGTGCTGAAGAGTTCTCAGAAGTCAAGTGGCCGACTGAGGTCAAGTTCAGAGTGGTACAGTAGCTGCAGACATTCAGGAGGCGGAGGAGGGACAGAGTAGAGGCTTTGAAGTCTTAAAGGATGGATGTGGCACGAAATCCCGACATGTGTCTCTCGAGGTTAGGGTTTTCCCTCGGCCCGCCTTCCGGGCGAATCAAAGGCGACTGCACGGTGGTGACAACTTTACCGCACTTGTCCCGGGCCACTGCGGTACTTGAACCGCCTGGTCACCACCGCCACACAGAAATCATGGACCCCTTGAGCCTGAGAAGACTAGAACGGGAGCGTTTCGCCGCCCAGTTTACGGATCCAACCATAGGAAGGTTCGTCGTCTCTCGGACAGTATTGCATTTATGTGGAATATTCAGAGTGGCTAGCAGGCAACTAGACGAACTCGTGAAGAGGTGTGTGTTATTCTTGTAGTCTATATCAGCGCAGCTAACAAGTTGCGTTTTATGTTTCTACAGCAACGACATCCTGTCTGGTACAGAGTCACAAAGACTTCGCTCCTACTTCTCTAACAATGGCTTGGAGCCTGCCCGCCACCTCGACATATATGGACGGGCCATAATGATGGGGGACCTCGAAAGCATCAAGCTCTTTTACAACGCCAGCCTCGATGAACATGGTCTAAAATGCGACTCTGGCGACACTGCTCGCGCCGCCGCCACCCGCGAGATTTACGAAAAGCGCTGGGGCCCGACACGTGTTCCGGTATACAACCTGATCCTCCTCAGTACACTCATCATGCCCCCAATGCGCAGGCAGCACCTCGAGGTTGCGCGGTGGCTCATTGATGAGGCGAAGGTGCCCGTCGACGGCAAGGACCTTTCTGGGTCGACGGCGCTCCACCACGCCATCTCGACCAAGCCCGCCTTCGATCCTGAGTACGCACAGATGCTCTATGACGCTGGGGGCATAGTGACGCTCCGCAACCGGTATGGGGGCACACCCGCCCACGAGATCGTCATGACGTGGGATCCGACGAATAGGGAGGCCGTCCGCAAGGCTGCTGACGCCCTGAAGTGGTATCTCGACCATGGGGGCAACCTGGAGATCAAGGACTCGGACGGGGTTGCGGTCCGCCATTCAGTTAACTCCACGAAGAACTTCGCGCGGAAGGGGATCCAAATGGAAACGTGGCGTGTGGTGGACACGGAGGACAGGCGGCGCGCGAATCTCGCAGGCAAGATATGCACGTTCTGCGGGAGGGAGCCGGGAGGAGACGTGAGGTTGCTACTGTGCTCGAAGTGCAGAGTTGCGCACTATTGCTCCGGGGGGCGGCCGTGTCAGAAGGCGGACTGGCCCTACCATAAGTCGGTTTGCAAAGCCACGCCAACTGCGTAAGCGGAGTTTAGGTATCTTACACGTGGTGAGACATCCTCTGCAATTGTTTTAATGCCATGGCACTCATGGTAAATACAGGGGAACATGGCAAACAGTAATAACTTGATATTGACTCGCATTCGCGCCTCATTCCCCGGATCCGTGCAATTGTGCTGCGCTATTCCGCGCCGTTCAAAGGATGTCCACATATCTTGTGAGGCACGTAGCCTTCGGAATCGGCTCACTGCAATCACAGATGTCATGTTCGTTTGGGGGCCGAGGAAATCGAATGACGCGGAACATCTGCCAAAGATCCCATGTAAGGGCTGAGTGCTGAATGTTGAACATTTACGATCCTCTCCACTCAGGTTGATCCCCGAGGCCGACCACGGCTTCATCGACTCGGACCGTAGCATCCGGTCGAGAAACCAGCGAGATTGGAATTCGGGATGTATGATATGCTCTTTCAGCTCGCCCTGCACGACTTGGAGACAGCCGAGATCAACATACGAGCAAGCAATATCTGACGTTGTTTTGTCGGAGGGTTATATGGCGAGACAACATGGTGCATCCCGATCGGTGTGCATCTGACTTTGCCCATGGTCTGAAACACCGTCTCTGTAGTCCTGTTAGACCGTACCGTTCTCCTACTCACAAAGTCATGAGGTTCATGTGGTTGGAGTATAGCTCAAGTGGTACAGCGTTCAAAATGCCAATGACCAGCCAGTCGTCGTTCACGCTACTCAGAGAAATAGGTTCGCCATACTCCGTCTCAGTCGGTTTACAATACAGCATTATGCACGAGTGATATTATGCGTTGTCTTGGTGAGAACGCGTTTCATCCTGACTAGTATGTGGATAGGTACTGTGCTGCACGTCCTCTCTCATCCACGACCTCCAGGCCTCGCTCGAACCAGCTTCGGCCGCGCGCCTTGCTCGATATGTTGCATGAAGAAGCTTTTCCATGTATCCCGCAGGATCTCGCTTCTCAGCGCCCGCTGGGACATCGACCCGAACGGCACTGTCTGCACCGCGAGCGGCGGGCACTCAATCATCGCCGCGGCGACGGTCCCGTGCCCCGACCGCTCCATGTCGTCTGCCATACCGTTGAGCTGCATGAGGCTCTCCGGCCATGGGCTCTCCTTGCGCATCGCGTCTTCAATCGCGATGACTTCCGCCTCCAGAGCGCGGAGGAACTTGCCGGCCTGGTCGTTATGCTCGGATGCCGGGCGAGGTTCGAGTAGGATGTAGAGGACGTGAGTGCGCGCGCGGGAGATGTCTACAGGGAGGCGGAGTGCTTGGATTGTGGCCGCCATGAGGGTGGAATTGTGGAACTTGACCCACTTCTCGAGCCGCTGGTCGAGTTCGTACATGGAAATGCCATCGACGAGCATCAGGCGGTCCATCATGCCCAGCGCAGTGGACTCGTGCTCTTTCAGACGAGACTCAAGCAAGCCGTTGTTCTGACATATCGTCTTGTGGTTCTATAGTATAGGTGAGCCTGAGCCGGGCTCTAATGTTCGAGATGATAATGCCGGCGAGCGCCTACCTTCCAGTCGCCTTTTTGACACTCTTTCGAGCAGTAGTACTGGGACTACGTCCTCTCGTCAAAAACGTGGACATGGGGAAAATATAAGAAGACCTACCCTGCACCTCGAGCATGCGAAAAGTTGCTTCTCATCGCCGCTGATGTAGCAATTGTTGCACTACAGATCGCAGTGTCATCAAAGGGTTCCCTATACCGTTCTTATGTCAAAGAAACAGTCCACTTACCTTTCTAGACATATGCTTTGTCTTTCCGGCTCCAGGTGCCATAATAGCATGCGATTGAAGGCCTTTCTACTGAGAGAGTGGTGTGCCAGTCAATGTTGATGGCGCTTCAAAGCTTCAACCCCGGGCCGCGAAGCGCCTAGAGTCTCATAGAGCCGCTTCCAAACCAAGGAAGCTTACTCATCAGTTGGTTCCCACGAGCAGAAAACTCCGCTCCTCGGCTTTGGAGTCTCAGGTGGGCTCCTTTCACGCTCTCAACCCGTCCGCGGGCCTGAACGAGGATGAGGATGCACGAGTGAGCATCATCGTCGCGAAGCTTCAATATTCTGACCTAACGGTGGTCAAAGGAATCTCTTGATCAGAGGAGTAGGGTGACGAGTCGTTCCAGTTGATGACTCAACACCCAACAGAACTTCTTCCAGACTGTGTACGTTGCCTTGACGAAAGCGAAGAACTCAGTGCATTACGTAGAAATGGCAGCACAATGGCCAGAAGATCAGGAGAATGATCTCGGGGCGTATGCATTGCCAGCGTAGCAAGGAAGTGGGTAAGCATGATCTCTACTCTATATACCGGGTGTTCCCTTGTCTCTCTAATAATGGCGGGAGTAGCACGTCTAACAGGTTTCGGTCAGTACTTATCAATTGAAGACATTCAGAAATTCATAACGTATTGTGACGTTGATCCGTGCTCTCATTCGTCCGCTGCGCAGTGACAGTGGTCGGCATCATACCGGTGCAATATACTGTGAGCATGCGTAAACAAAGCATAACGTAGCGATTTCAAGCCACAGTAAGTCACGAAGCCGTAAAACCTTGCGTCGCAGAGTTATCAGGATATGCTCGGAATGACTCCCTTTTCACACATCAGTCACGACGGGCATTGGCCAATGTCCCGGACCCAAACTGGGACAGAGAAATGGCCTGGGAATGGATGCCTGTCACAGGTCATGTCCCAATGCCTAGCTCCGGACTAGTGTTGCCGCAAGCTACCAGCTAGCTTGTAGCTTGCTTGTAGCAGCTTGTTCTCACGGCCGGCTTACTGCAACTTGCGTTCTGCCGACCAACTTGCAAGTTGAGGATCAGATGCCCCTCACGACTCCTATTGGCTTAATGACCAGCTGTCCAATTTAGGTCCATTGTCCAGATTATGTAAGGACATTGATCCTATTGAACACCTTCGTGCATACTGACCTCTACGGTGCTGCATCCCTCTACCCAACTATAGTGTCGTCTGCTGATGCTTTCACTTGGAACCTATGTACACTTAAGTGCTGATAATCATACTTACAGATCACGCTCCTCAGGAATCTTGGCGCCTCAATAGCTGCATACGGGAAGACGGCGCGCCGCAGGCGGACCATCCCGTCTTTTGGTAGTCATCATCCGCACGTTTCCGTAACAAGAACACTCTCTCGTTGGCTTCTCAGTGTGTTGGTAGGATTTTGCACTTGCTGATTGTATGGTAGGCAATATATATCTCCGTTTGCCTCAAACCCGAGTGATGAAGTTTCATCGAGATAGAACTGCGAGTGCAAACGGCCTCTCCTCTCTTGCCTGTTGAGGTGTTTTCCACCGAGTGATGGTCATAGATGTCTCTGAATCTCCCGGTGGAGCTTGAACTATCAACATACTCACATCACCAACAGCGGTTGTGATAAACTCGGGGCTGTGAAGACAAGGATTAGATCCGACTAGAGTCGAAGCAAGATCCTCAGTCAGTAAGGAAAGACTGAAGAGGGAGGACGCAATCTGAAGTCCTTATATACTACAGAGAAGTGTCCATGACTAATCGAAGAGTGGTTAGTCACATGTACCATAGTGCGATGAATAATACGATGGTGAAAGAATTGCGACGTATCGCACCATAGGATGAGTAAGAGATGAGTAAGGCA